ACCAATGGATTCGTCTCTCCCAACAAAGTCTTCTCCATACACATAACCAAGAATTGAAACCCTAACAACAAGCTGAAGGAATCTAAATATATATCCACTGTACTGTACCTTGTTGGTAACATAAATAAACCAATACTAGATTATAAGTGAAAGGTACTTGTAAGCATGTTCATGTCATTCACCTCACCTATAAACTAAAAATTTAGGGCATAAATAAATGTATCAACACAATTCCTAAAGTCTCACTAAATTCGAGAACAAATATCAACACAACAGATGAACTATCACAGTGCGGATAGAAAGTCACAAGAATGTAAGCATAAAACCTGAAGAAGTGTGATGACATTGGCGGAGGGAAAATTATAAGACGAAAGCGCTGCTTTATTGAACATCACCAGCAAAACTACAGAACAAAGAGGATATGATGGATTTAAGAAGCATTTGAAAATTTGACGACGAAAGAACGGAGCGGAATTAAGAAGAAAGGTACCAGCGCAGGACATGTAAGAGACGGCGGCGAAGGCTCCGCGTTTGGTCATGGCGGAGCCTCTGAAGAGCTTGTCATCGGCGTAATCGTCTTGGTTGGAGGGAGGATCGGAGACGGGGAGCATGAGATTCTGCGAGGAATTTGACGGTTTGAGAGACATAGAGAAAGGGAATTGGAGAGCGAAGGGTTTGGTTTGGTTTTGCGATTGGATTGGAGTTTGAAGGAGAATTCGAGGAAGTGAAAGGCGAAGAATGAGAGAGGGGTTAGAGTCAGACCCAGTCTAGAAGGCCACTAGCGAATCCCGACTTCACGACTTGGTCAATTCAACTCTCAGCTCTCAAACTGTTTTCATCACACTCCAAGAGGAAAGCGTCATAAAAAAAATCTCGCTTAAAAATTTGACACCACTATTATTACAATAAAATTATTTATCAAATATATAAATTTTTGGATATTTAAGGGCCAATAAATAAATAAATGTAGCTCGTGACAAAAGTATCAATGAGGTTTCCTAGTGCCGTGAACATCAAGGGTATTTCTAGGTAGACTTCCATTATAGACTCAGGATGTTATTATCAAAATTAAGATGCTAGGAGTTCATAGTTTAGGAAGGAGATTTCTTCCTTTTCATAGTTCGACTTAAGACTTCTTTTATAATGATCATACAAGTGCATGGTGTTTATAGAACCCAAAATAAGATCTCTTGATTTATTCAATAGCACGATAAAATCCTAACTATATTTAATATCTTCACGACATTGAGAATAGTTTTTAAGTGAATGAAAAAACATTATTAAACAAAATTACACTAAGATACCAATAGATTGACACATCTACACTCACTTCACCGTATTTTTATTTGTAAGATTATTATGAAACAAAGTTACATATATTAAATGAATATAAAAATGTATTAGATTTTTTTTTTCTTGCAGTTACGTAATAAAAGAGTAGAAGAACATTTAGATGTAATTAGTAAAAGACTTAAGAGTTTATTTAACAACAACATCTTATCGATCTCCAACAACATCATGTTATATTGAGGATGGTTGACAAAGTTGCATACCACAACATATGTAAGATGATGCCAACACTTAAAAATAGCTTACCAAGCACACAAAACAACCCACATAAGTGTTCACTGCAAACAATAAAAATCTTGATACACTGAAACAACTTATATATATTTTTCATGCCATCGAAGTTCGAATATCTCTATAAACTACTCAAACATGCATGCGATAACAAACCATCCTTTCACTCTTAAGATTATGACCATCAACCTTTCCTCCAAATGAAAGAATTTAAGCACTAAAAGATACATCCTAAAGAGAAAAAGAGAGAAAAGAGCTCAAAGAAAATAATACATTTGAGCTGAAGAAAAGAGAAGAGAAGAGAAAAAGAGAAAGAGATACTCTCGAGCTTAAGCATTAAATTTCTTACTACTGTAAGAGAGAAACACATGTGAGTGTTTAAACTACATTGCATTGTAATCAAATCCTCTCGTAGAGAGATTTAGTCTGAACTACTTGTAAGCAATCGTTGATTGCAATTCTGAAGAGAATTAAAATACTTACAATTGAACTCTTTTGAGTTGAGGAATCTAAGCGTGGTAATCTAGTAACAATAGTGGTTTGAATGCTCAAAGGAAATATCGATAGGGAGCTGAGCACCAAGAGTGGTGCGAATACTCAAAGGAAATCTTGGCAGCGTGCTGAGTACTAGGAGTGATGCTAATACTCATTTGTAATCTTGTAATGATTATAGTTGAACCCTCTGCGAAGAAGATTGGACATAACTCAGTTGGAGCGAACCGTATAAAATCTCTTGTGTTATTTTCTCTTCTTTTTACTAAACAATCATCTTGGAAAATCTGCAGTTGAGTTTTATATTTCAAAATACAAGAACTTCCAAGCTAAATGATCATCTTGAATAGCACGACAATCTTATCAACTCCAACATCTAAGTTTTCAAAAGAATATTTCACACGCTCAATAACGTGTTATATCAGAAGGGTTGCGAAAAACGTTTTTCATAAACACTATTCTGTTATAGAAAAGCTGACAAAATAGTATTTTCTAACGCATGTAGTTTCACTGTCCTTAAGGACTTATCCACGGTGTATTGCGCAAGCCCCTAGGATACAATCGGAACTTCCCAGAATATTTTTGAGGATCTCAGAACTAGCAAGGATATCTAAAAGGAGTATAAAATAACCCATAATATGTTTAGAAAGGAAAAGAAGAAAAGAGAATGAGAGAAGACTGATTTTGGTGTATTTTGGAATGGGAAAATACCTCTCTATTTATAGAGTTAGGAAAGAATAAAATAAATAAAGGACAATAAAAGCAAAACAAATTAACATCAGAGCACTAAAGTTTTTTTTATCGTTGCTTTTTAAATTTTTTAACGTTGCAATTAATAAAATGTTCTTTACTGATGCCAACATCAACGTTCTAAACATTCCAAGGCTTTAACTTTTGCAATATCACTATATATTATAACATATTCAACCCGTACCCCACCTTCTAGTGTTTTTCAGATACTTCATTGTTGTCCCGCACAACAATTCAAAACACAAGTGATCTCTCAAAACACAAGTTATCTCATATACCATTTCAAAACACAAGTGATCTTACATACCAATTAAAAACACAAGTGATCTCACATACCAGTTCAAAACCCAAGTGATCTCAACGCAAGGCATCAACTCACATAGTGCGACCTGATAAACTAATTTCACAACTATTACACTCTCTCATAGAGTTCCCAACCTTTCACTCTCCAAAAACTAAGTAAGTATCCTATTTCTAACTACAACCCACATGTGTAACTTACCAATCATTCACTCAACACTAGTGTTAAAACTCCTTACTACTCCTAGAGTCTTACGAACAAAGTCCAATCCCTACTACTCTTCCAAAGAGACTTACAAACAAAGTTCATTAGTTATAACACCACACAAAGTTTATCGTCATTTACTCACACAGAGCTAAAACTCATTCTTCTCACAGAATCTTATAGATGGAGTCCACTTCTCACTTCTTTTCCATAGAGTCTTATGAGTGAAGTCCTTTAGGTTCACTTTTCACTACTCTCCTAAATATTCTTACAAATAAAGTATTAACTCGTGTTCACCACAATATACTTTACAAAACATCCTCACCTTTTATTTAGACACAACACAATTTTTGTCCTTTGTAATCTCTCAAGTTCCACATTCATTAACTCATTCAATTTCACTACATATAAATCCGTCTTACTTATACAACTTTTCACTTAGACTATATACTACCCCTTAAATTAACAATAATCAAATTTTTAAATTTTTAAAACATAAATAAATAAGCAAACCCACAAATGCATTATGCTGCCCACTTTATAAAAAACTCAACTACTAATTACTAACATACTTAAAACAATAAGAAAAACACAAACTAACATTAATATTATATTTTCATATAATATATTATAATATGAATTAAATATATTTTTAGTTGACGTGAATTTAGAATTTTTTATAAATTTTAATATATTTTTAATTTTTTTAAATTTTAATATGTTTTAATAGATATTCTCTTATGTATTAATTTTTTTATGTTAAATGAGATTTTAGCTTAACATTTTACATATCAATAATTTAACAAAATTACAGACTATATTAATTTGTTTTTAAAATTTGGAAATTTATTTTTAAAGTTTGAAAATCAAATTATATCAAATATTTAAACTGAAACAAATTCTAATTTTATCTTAAAATTTAAAAATTAAAAATATATTTAACCTCTTAACATTATCAAACAAATCACAATCGCGATTTTCAAAATCCAAATTTTAACTTTTCTGCTCTTGCCCACATACCCAAAATTGTCTTTTAATACCAGTATATAATACAATGATGTTTTGACTAAGGTTGCTTCCTGCTCCCCATTTTTACAAACAGACGTGGAAGCGTACATGCAATTTTTTTATTTTGTTTTGGAATTTTCTTTGATGAGTGTAGTTTGGGGGAATCATAAGCCTCCATTCTTCAATTCAAACTTACAGAGTTTAAACTTTTCACCTCTCAACAAGTTCGCGCTCCCAACACATTCGTTCCCAAATCTATCTCCTTCCCAATATCTCGCATTTGAGTGAGTGTTCACCCGCAGAAAGTCGCACAGTTGTCTCGTTGAAAACATTGAGTGAAAGTTGCAGTTTCCAATTGTTGGTTGGTGCTGCTATTTGTGTTCATTGTTGGTCGCTAGTGGTGGTTGGTGCAGATTTTGCGAGCCATTCATTTATCGTTCCGTTGAGAGAAGATTAGTAGAAAGTTTCCAATGTGAATTTCTTTTTGTAAGTAACTCAAAAAACTCTTAGCCTTGAGATCTGTCTTAATCCTGATGAACCCCAAGACCTAATTTACCTGAACTTTTTGTATTCACACAAAGAATCGTGCTTTTGGGATTTGTAAGTGTATCAATTTCTCAAGACTCACAAGTGTATGAGTTGAGTTAGATACTCTACTGTCTTGTTATCTAAGTAGGTTGCAAAGGTTCACCCATAGAAGAAGGTGAAAGGAAGGATGATAACAAGCTATAATGGAAGTCAATCTGCAATTGTCTGTGCAAAGAAGGATTATAAACAATCCCTTTACTTATCATCTCCTCTTCTAGTTGTCTTAGTGGTATAGCAGCAAGAAAGCGTTTGATGAACTCTTTACAACACTCTTTTCCTCTGCAAACTATCTCACCTCTTTGTTTCTTACTTCTCTTTTCATGGATAGAACTTGAACCATCAAACTTCATTATGAAAGCCTTTTGGCATCCCTCATAAAGCCTCTCCCCCAAAGTGTCAATCACATAACAAGCATCAACATCCACCTTCAGAACAAAGAAATGATCATTCCAACCCACTATGTATATTCTTGGCTCTTGATCAACCTCTTCATCTTTTCTAGTTATCTCATCCCAAATGTCATCAAAGGACATGGCTCCTTCCAAGCACTGAAACTTCTCAGGGGAGAAAAATCCTGTGTAGGAATTTTGAGGGAGAACAACCACAGGCCTGATGTTGGCTTTCAAGACTGTCTCTAGATCAAAATGCTTATCTGGGAAGAGCTTTAGGTAGTGATCATTGTGGCTCAGCCTTATCCATTCTGAGGAACCCCTTTTGATGAGGCTATCAAATTGAGTCCGTGTTGGCATGTTATGGTTTGAATGAAGCCAGTGTGCTATTAACACTGCTAGTGTTGTACATGCACTCTCACCACAAGCTTGTTTGCTCCTTTGGTCAAATGAAGCAAAAAACACATTGGTTTTCAGCTTTGCTTGCCCATCTCTGCTCCAAAATTCCTTATTTTCCCAACCACTTGTGGTGTGATGAAAGTATGCTTGTGTAGAAAGTTCATCCATTTTCTGCAAGAAATGGATGAAACCAATTGGTAATAAGTATACTAAAGTAACCATTTTATGCACATAGAAAAACGTTAACTATTCAAATGATCCCAGAAGCTGTTAGATAAAAAAATTACTTAAAATGAACCACCTTCAGATATAAAATTGAAAAAAAAAATCATACTATTTAGAGAGATTATTACATTTCTAAGATAATCACGTTTTTATGATTCTGAAAGTTCTATGCAGCATAATACTCCATTTTACAGTTCAATTACGTCTCAAATAAAGATTGTCCAAGATTATAATATTTGTGGTTCATGAAATATCTCTTGTCATTTAACCAATCATAGATTATGGTTTTGGTAAAACTGATGATTTTGTTCTGATTACATTAAACTCTTACTCTAATTAGTTGAAAGTAGGAATCTAAATTCAATACCAGGATTATTATGACTCAAAAGGAAAAGTAGATGATGTTAATGTTATTGTTACCGTGCAGTGAGTTGAATGTGAGGTTAAAGGCTCTTGATTCCTTGAGGTGGTTCTTCTAAAACTCCATCCCTTGAAGCTTCTATTCCATGGCAACATGGACCAACTCTTCTGCATTGTGTCCAAAAGGGTCTCTGTATCTGAGTCCATAAGCCTCTCTGACTCGTTTGAAACTCTTGATACTGCACACTGATTTTCAATGCTACTGCCACTGCTAGAGGTTGTGGTGGACTCATCAGACGAGTCATCCGAATTAAACACAGGTAACTCGTCTGATTCATAGGAACTCAGTTCCTCAACTTCATCAAACTTCCCATTATTTTCCCCAATGTTTGGCTCTCTGTTTACAAATGTTCTTGGCAATGGCAAGTCATCATCAAAATTTTTGAGTTTCAATAAACTCAGTGAAACCTGGTCAGGTCAATTAACTACAATAAGAATTGTTTTTCTGAACTTTCATCCATTTCAGATACATAAAATGAAAAGAAATTAACAAACATCTGAGAAATCATTATCTATTTTCTTCACAATTTGCCCATGAATAAAGAAGCACTGGCATGTACAAACACTAATAGAAACATTAACATAACTAATTAAAGTGGAACTTAACTATGCGAACTGATATAGGTTAAAATACCATAAAGAATACAAGTTAGAAGGATAAAATGATCAACTTAATTAACACCAAGATTTTTTAGCTTTTTACATTCATTTAAGACAAAAAATATAATGGAGCAACATTCATTACTTTGTGGGGGCAAAAATTTTATGAACATATATAAGTTAAAAAACAAATTCCTGTAGTTGGAGCATACCGAAAGTGAAGCTTCCAAGAACAAACCATGCACCTTCAATTGAGTTGGAACTGTTCTTTGAACCTCACAAGAATTTGTCTCATTTTTCATTTCTTCGCTCAGCGTTAACTCAGCCATAGTTATGCTCATGGAAACTTCTCCAACCACCACCATTTCAGGTTCATATTCTCCTACATCACCCTCCCCCTGCATTTCATATTTGGACAAATTTCTCATCATACACATAACAAGATCAGAATTTAATTCAAACACACAAACACTAAATGATAAGTACTAATCATGTCTTAAAATTAAACAGTGCATAAACTGAGATTTAAAAACTGTCATACGATCAATATAAAGTAAAATAAAATAAAATAACATAACTATTCATTGCAGAAAACCTTACATGTAAAACTAGAAATATCATGTGTAAGGTGCCATTGTTGAGGACGAGATGAAAGGCAGAGAGGTCACGTGCGTCCCACAGGATAGGTGCCTTAGAATTGATGACTCTTGGAGTCAAAGTAGTGTGAGTGGATGCTAGTTTGAGGGCACAATTTGAAGAAGAAGAAGAAAGTTTCCCTTTTTTGGTAGCTGTTCCAGTAATCTGAAGGGCAATTATGTCCTCATCCAAAGCACCCACCATTGTTGCCCCAAATTCCAACCTCAACAGGGTGACCTTAACAACGTAGTGTTTCTCGACGTGCCCCCAAAACCATGGTCTCCAATTTTCCATCACCATGTTGTTCGTGAAGCACTAATCAACATTGAGATATGAAAAACAAAATCAGAGAAAGAAAAGGTTGCATTTTTATTATTATTATTATTATTACAGCATATTTCTATCAACTACTTTATATGTGTATGAGATTTTAGTCACGTGTTTGTTAATGGTTTTGTTTAAATTTTACTTTCGGTTTGTGTTTTGTCGTTACGAGGAATGGAATCCAAGAAACGTTGTTCATTTAAACAACGTGAAGAAACGTGGGCTAGTTGTTATGATTGGCAACACGGAAGAAAGAACACTTCACACCAAGAAATTTGGTTCTTGTGTTATATATGTTATTCGATTTTCGAACTTTTTTTTTAATACCATGATATATGTTTTTTAACAATTTTTTTTATAATAAATTATGTGTCAATATATTTGAAACGCACTAATTATAAGTTATTTATCAAAAAAAAATTATTAAAAAAGCATTTTTCTTTTTTAATGTAAAAGTAAAGAAAGAAAGAAGAGAGGCTGTCTTCTCTAAAAAAAAGTTGTATAAGTATTAACAAATTTATATTAAAACATCACTATGTTGTGGTTTCAATGGTACTCATGTTGGTAAGAAAATAGAGGGCACGAAATTGTAAATGAATTAAATAAAAACTATAATTACAATTTAGTAAAAAAAAATATAATTTAAGATTCAAAAGGTGAATGATGGTATTCTTTTGAATTGCCTTTTTTTAATAATTCACCCAAAGAATTAGAAAATTTACATTGACATTAAAAAATTACGCCTAAGATTCTCAATACTATTTTAGTAATTAGTATATTGAAAGAATAAAAAATGAAATGAACAAACTTACATGTGTTACTATTCTAGGAGAAAATTATCAAAAATGTTAAACAATTATATATCCTACTTTAATAAAATAAATAGAGTATTTAGAAGAACAAATAATAAACTAACTCTATATATATAAACACACAAAAAGAGAAAGTGAAGGTTTTCATATTTATGGGTGCAAGAAGCAATTCGCAATCAGAGTTCCTTTGTTTGGTCTCTTTTGGGCTCTTATATTAGACCAATTCCATTCAATTATTTTTGAAAAAGATTACTAATCGCACCACCATTTTTAATCGCATATAATTTTAATATAAAAGAAACAATAATAAAAAAAAGTTGTTGTTATAAAAAAAAAATTAAAATATTACTAAAAATAAAATAAATATACGTTATAACTCTTCATCTCAAGCAAAGTTATCCATCTGTCTTCTATAATCCATAAGCTTTCTCACGGACTTTTGTCCAAGGGAATTAGTAGAAAGAAGAGAAATAGAAATAGCGAAAATAGGTGAGTAAGAAAAGAAGAGGATGTTCATTTGAAAATAAATAGAAGAAAAATAGAGTCAAAATTAACCTTAAAGATTATTTTATTTAATAATTTAGTAATAATGATAATGATTATAATTATAATCAATATAATAGTAATTATATTTTGAGTGCAAACATTATGGTACATGTACATTTATATTTTTATTATATACTAAAATATATTAGGACCAGAAAAATTATAGTTAATTCAATCGTCCTCATAAACAAATTATCAAAATATTGAGAAAATAAAAATAAAATAAAATAATGTGTGTACCAAAAAAATGTTATTATCGTAAGGGTTAAATATGTTTTTAGTCCTTAAACTATCAAGCGAATTTGTTTTTAGTCCCTCTTTCAAAGTAAGGTACACTTTGATCCTTCTCTTTAAAGAAACTATAATTTTTAGTTATTCAAAACCAACGGTGTTAAAAATTTGCTGAGGCCACATCATTTTCTTTTTTTCAGACAGGAATCAACTTTTCCCAACTTTTTTCCCTTCCTCTCCTTCCCTCTCCCTCATCTTCTCCTTAACATCCTTCATGTTTTGTAAGTGGAAGAAAAAACTGGTTTAATACATCACACAAACAACAAACATCTTGCCTTTAGGAAAAAATTAAATAAAAAATTGAACTTGAAATTCAGAGAAATAAATGAATGATTGCGTAATTTAAACAAATCAGCAAGATACAGAGAAGAATTAGAAGAAAGGGAATTTTGAAGAATAGGGGAACAATCAGCTCCTGCACCACATGCATAATCTATAGCTTTTTGAAGAGCTTGATTACCCACACCATCTTTACATACACAGTAAAGAGCACCTGTTCATGACCAAAAATAAATTGTAAAAGTTGTAAACAGAAGAACAGTTAGTCCATTAATAAATCTCATCTTTCCTTAAAAGCTCCAGCCTTCAGTAAAACAGAACAAAAATAGAAAAGTTCCTGAACAAAATCCATCTCAAAATCTCAAGCTGTATCACAAAACCAAAACAGAAAAAAGCTTTCAGGAACTAAGCATTATCCATTTCCCCGTTGCAGCCAGTGAGCCAAAGATGCGCAGGAGAAGCGCACATTCATAGCATAACAATACATAACTTGTAAATTCAATAACCGCACCATTAACAGATCAATGATTCGTTAAGAATCAATAACCGCACCATTAACTTTCTCTCTTGATCTCTTTCACTAGTGACCTCTTCTCCATTCTCTCCTTGCGGAGGGTTCTTCGTGACGGCTTGGAGGAAGGCGGTGCTTGAGGCAGGGCCGGTGATGGCGATGAAAAGGTTGAAGGATGTGACGATTTCTGAGAAGGAGTTTAAGGAGAAGATTGAGGAAGAGGGAGGGAGAGGAAGGGGAAAAAGCTGGGAAAAGTTTATTCGTGTCAGAAAAAAGAAAATGACATGGTATCACCGTTAGCCACCTCAGCAGATTTTTAACGCTGTTGGTTTTGAAGGACCAAAAATTATAGTTTCTTTAAGGAGAAGGATCAAAGTGTACCTTACTTTGAAAGATGGACTAAAAAAAAATTCGCTTGATAGTTTAGGGACTAAAAACATATTTAACCCTTATCATAAACTATTATAATAATAATAATAATAATAATAATAAATTATTATTATTATTATTATGAATATAATATTTCGAAATATATTTTGGATATCTTGTAAAATTTTATTATTATAGTTTATAATCAATTAAAGGCCTAATAATTTTGTTATTTTATTATATATTAAATATGATATGGCCTAATAATTTTGTTATTTTATTATATATTAAATATGATATTTGATTATGTAAAGATTTTACATGTTCTTGTCATTAATTCAAAAGATAAGATAATCAAAATTTCTATAAGAATACTTTTAAAATGAAGACTCATCTTATCTCAACCTCTCTATATTTATAATTTTTTTTTTATTATTTTATTTATTTAAATCTTAAATTTTAGTGTGATATTTATAGGTGGGGTGAGAACACTTATTAATATTCACAACTACTAGAGAATTGATTTCATGAACCATAGGAATGTTAAGTCAATTGACATTATATTTATATTTAAGGTATTGTTCATTTTAGAATTTAAATATATATTTTTAATTAATAGAAAAAATGTTTATAAATTAATGGAGAAAAGATATAGTTTCTTAACTATAGTTCAAAAAAATATATATTATTGTATTTTATGTTATTACAGTTATATCTTGTGATAATTGTACTAATAATTTTTTAGATTATGGATTTTTTTTGTTTCGGGTATTATTAATAAATGTCTCATTTTATTAATTTATGTTACTAAAATGAGATGTTGCATTAATGGTATTTCGTTCTTAGGATAACCTGAGAGTTGCGGGTTTGTCGTGTCTTTCTAGTCTAAGAGTTTGAGCTTAGATTATAGAATTTGTGTATGTAATTGAAAGTATTAAGAACATAAAATGTTTTGATAAGGGTAATGAGGATGCACACTCATGACTATATCAAATATGATTTTCTTTCTTAATTCTGAAGGTTTAGGGAAAGAAAGAGTTAGGTTTGTTAGAGGAAGAAATAATTGTGGTTTAAGTTTGGTTCTTTATAACAATTATTGTCATGTTTTTGCCTTTATGGTGTGTTAAGTGCTCTATAATGGTAGAGGAATGAACATCCAAGGATAACTTGACCTACTTACCTTTATGAGAAGTGAATAATACCTTTGATTCTCCATCTCTACTCGTCTGATTGAAAAATTGAGACTTTTCTAAAGTTATATGACTTCTCTCTAAGGATTCTTCGTGATTGAAAAATCAAGACTATAAGATTAGTTTTTGTGGCAAGCTTTTCAATTTAGACTAATCAGTTTCTTCGTTTGCATAAGTTGAGTTTAAGCTCTTTTTCTTGGTCTTTTTTTGTTATTTGTTGCATATGCATCGTCTTTTAATTGCATGTGTCTTTTTAGTCATTCATATGAGGCTTTGTTTATCAGTGGTTCTAATGGTGTGCCCTAATCATGTTTGTGTTGTTCCTAGATGTAGATAGGACATCCTATGAGCTTGAAAGGGGTTTGAGTTTCTTTTGAGCAAGTTTGCCTATCTCTCAGGTATGAGAAGCTAATTGTTTTGTTTTTAGGTTGTAGATATATTGAATTGTATGTTTTGCATGATTGAGTGAAATTATGAGTCTTGATATGTTGAACATGTTTATGACCAAAGTACCAAGTAGGGAATACCAATTTAACCATTTTGAACATGTTTCTTTTTCCCTAAATCATAGTTGTGATTCTGGTGATATCTGATGCAACACCGAGCGGTGGTAAGCTGGTGTTGAGCGTCATTTCTTTGTGCAGGTCTGGGAGCATTTCATTTCCAGACCGTTGAGCACCAATCTTGTACCGTTGAACTCACATAAATGCGAATGCTTTGGCGTTAAGCGATAGCAGGATACTGTTGAGAACCATGTTTCACTATAGGTCTAAAGAATTTTGTTCCAGGACACTAAGCGACAAGAGTGTGTCGCTAAGCGTTAGGAATATCCTTGAGCGTCATCTTTTATGAAAGGTTTGGCGTTGAGTGTCAGGACTGTAACTAAGCATCACCTTCTAAGAAAAGCCTAGCGTTGGGCACCACTTCTGAGCGCCAATGTACATGTTTAAGTTTTCTTATTCCATGGTTGCTTGATATATAAATTGTAATGTATTTTATGCATGTCTATGAGTTTATGGTAGGTATTCATGTTTGGTATTATGATGATGATGATTTTGTTAT